ACATTCGGTCTTATTATCATAATAAATTAAGTCATTTTATTAAGGCAGTCCCAGTAATGGGGTCCGCAGTGGCCGCGCGGTCTGAGGCTTGAGCCTTGTGCCGCTTGGTCGCTGGGACTGTGGGTTCAAATCCCACTCAAGCCACGGATGTTTGTCCGCATTTTTCTGTGTTGTGCTGTCCTGTGTACAGGTAGAGGCCTTGCGACGAGCCGATCCCTCGTCCAAGGAGTCCTACCAAATGTCTATAGATCAAGCCAACGAAAAGTTGGGACCCACAGTGCTCAGGCACTTGAAGATCGGGTCATCCCCAATATCCCAGTATCCAGTCCCAGTAATGGTAGAAGAAGTCAGTATGTATTAATCTTGCTTATTGTACAGACAATGAAGCAACTTAAGGTCTTTTCTTTTTGTATGATTGTACTTGCATCTAGCTTCATTCTGAATATTCTCTAACAGAGTATGTTATTAGTTACTGTTACAGCCAAATTAACAGGATGTTTACTTCATAAGAAACTTAAGGTATTCAAAAATATGGGCAGAGAATACTCAAATTATAAGAATTCACAAAACATATTAAAATTTCTAAACAACTGTTTCTCATAATTGTAATTTAATTGAGGAGTACATGGTAATTTTACTTATATTTGTTTGATATTTTTTATTATAAACATTTCATACAACACATATACTTTACTGAACATTATGTTTGGGATATTTTTAATTCCATTTTTTTACAATTTTGCTTTCTTTCAATCAGCTCAGCTTAATTTATTTTACTAATTTTTATTTACTGCACTTATTTTAACATAGTGTATATATAATATCAACTGCATATAGATCACTGGACAAATAAATAAATAAATAAATTAATGAACCTCATGTCATTTCACTGTGTAATACGTTTGTTAACAAATGACCACATATCTCACATTAACTGAAATTTGAAATTAATTTTGTTAAAAAAATTTCATAATATTTCTATCTATACCAAAGATCCACGTTTGAAAATATTCAGAGCTGATCATCAAAATAACCGAAGCCCTCCACTGGTCCCTGTCCTGGGCCAGCAAAATCCAGTCTCCTTCAACTCCTATCTCCCATAGATCCCGCCTGACATTATCCTCCCATCTACGCCTAGGTCTCCCCAGAGGTCTCTTCCCCTCAGGCTTCCCAACCAATACCCGGTGCACATCTCTTGTCCCATCCATGTGCGCTACATGCCCCGCCCATCTCATTCTTCTTGACTTAATCACCCTGACAATACCGGGGAAGGAGTATAAATTTTTAAGTTTGTCATTATGTAGTTTTCTCCAGACCCCATCGTCTTCTCTCCTAGGCCCAAATATCCTCCTCAACACCCTATTCTCAAACACCTGCAATATATGTTCACACCCATACAAAACAATGGGCAGAATTATTGTTTTGTATATTTTAATCAATAAGTTCTTAAAATTCATACAGGAATACAAAATATTTTCAACTGAAAAGTAGCGAGCATTTCCAGAATTTAGTCTCCTAACTTCCTCATGAGTATCATTTTGATTTGATATTGTTGTTCCCAAACATTTGAAATTTGTCACACTTTCAAAGGATTTATTGGCCACCCTAAGATAATTCTGTCTGCCTGTTGGGATACTAACATGTACTTAGTTTTTTCTGAATTTACTTCTAGCCCCACCTGTCTACTATCTTCAAGTAAAACTTCCCTGTGTTCCTCTTCATTGTATTTATATCGCCACACAATAACTTAACATAATCAGCATATGCCAATAGCTGATGTGTCCCATTCAATTGCAAACCCTCCTGCCTATCTTGGACTTTCCTGATGGCGTATTCTAGTGCAAAGTTAGAGAGCAATGGAGACGGAGCATCTCCTTGTTTAAATAACAGTATTTAAAAAGAAAAACCTTCATCTGATAGACAGCTGTGAAATATTAAGTGGAGAAATAAAATAAAAATAGTGAAGTGTTAATCATAATGTATCGGTACTTAGTGAAAATCTATTTGTTAGAAACATGAAACATACAATGGTACTGCAAATTTTGTTCCCTCAAATTAATATTTTTTCCCTTGCACAATTTTATTCTTTCTTCCAGATGAGGCAATGGTTGTTAGCTGGCAATGGAACAACTTCATGCAAATGCATACCAGCAGAAGCTGCCAACGTTGTCAACTGATCTATATCCCGTAAACCCCATTCAGGATTTTGGGATTGCAACATTGAATTAAAACGGACATTTGACTCTGGTGAAATCTTACCATGGAATGCATATGGGCCATATGTGAAAAGTAGGCCACCACGTTTTAGAACTTCACCAGCATTGTGAAACAGACGTTCAGTGCATATGAATGAAGAAATGTGAATAAGGTTGATGCTTAAGATGAAATCCACTGACTGCTTTCCTACAATTATAGAGAGACAAAATCTATTACATTCAAGGAAGTTTGTTAAGTTCACTTTAACATCTAAGTGATGCTTCAGGCTTTGAAGAATGATACTCATGTTTGTATGGTGTGTACAATAAACTGTGAACACTTCATATTGAGAGCTTAACAGGAAAATGTATCATTTAATATAAATATGAAATAAAATAGAATCCTGTACTTTCAGTTTTGTGATAAGTGAACTACAAAACGATCTTTTCTAATGTATTAAATTATTATACAAGGAATGTTCCAAAAGCAACGTACATAAGGATACTATGAAGTGATATTTATTACCACTGATGCAAATGCTTGCACACATGTAGATACTGTAACATTATTAGGTGTCCTTCATCCTCTGGTGTGAGTGATGAGCACCTTCTGGGCCCGTCCATGTCTGTCTGTCTGTCTCTCACATTTTTTAGTAGGGTTTTCAATGAAACCAAATCCAACTAAATCTGACCATCACAAATTGTGCATGCATGTTACTAAATAAACCCAACCTAAAGCAACATTCCCAAACTGAGCTAAATCTGCCCCTTAGCAGGTGAAATTTGAGAAGTTCCTTCTGCTCATGTGCAAAAGTGCATCTGCGCATGCATGTCATAAACCTACCAACCTACTCCAATTCAACCCAACAACCAAATTTTCCAATTAGCAGCTGAACAGTGCGCACTCCCGTCTGTGCATGTGAAAATATTCTCTGCGCATGCACGTCACTGATTTCACATAACCTAACCAGGTCAGACTAAGACAGGTACCCTGGTACTCCAGGTTGGGGGTTGGTCGCAAGGCTGACAACCTTACATCGTAAAAAGGAAGATGTTTAGAAACCTCAATCAAAGCCTCGGACAGAGGATCGAATGGAAGAGGAGAACTGAGGAGGCCATGGACCGAATACGGCCGATGTGTAAGCGAAGAGTGTGAAGAGCGCTGAGCTCGAAGGACCAGATAGACTCGGAGGACAGAGTCAGAGTGTGTGTGTGTGTGTGTGTGTGTGTACAGGGAACAGAGACACGAAGTGTGTTGTTGTAGAGAGTTGACTGTATGTGCAGACCTCTGTACCTGATTTAATTTGATGTGAATAAATCAGGGTTGACAATCCAGGGTAGCAATACCGCCTCACGTTACAATATGATAAAATGAGGTGAAGATATGAAGGAACTCTAGACAAGACTAACCCAGTGGGAGGGAGTAAGCAAGGAATAAATACATGTTGCAAATAAGCCTAGAGAAGCCAGCAATGTTACACGTCTTGAGAAGATTAGGAAAAATAAACAGTAGTTAAATGGAAACGATAAAAAAGAAGCAGATAACAAGGAATGCAACAATATATTGTTTGAAGTTTGTAAATTAAGTTTCACACTGCACCATTCATTTGCATGCATGTTTATAAATTTCAATACTCTGTTCATGCTTTCAATTCGATAACATACCTACTACACCGCCTCCTCCCCATTTGGTGTATTCTTCACGCACATCTATAAATACAGGCTGCTTAATATTTGAGACCTGTGCATCTTTTATGTATGCAGAGATACTACCAAATGATGACATATCTATGTCAGATGGCTGCCACACAACAGATGGAAAGTGTGGCGCAAAGTATGCTACATGCTGCCCGCTTCCAGATGAAATTTCAAGACAGTGATAAATACAGTCCTCTTTACCAGTGGCTTCAATGTAAGGTGATATGACCTTTTTTAGGACTTGAAAAATGGGTTCTTTGTTACGTTCAGCAGCAGAGTTAACTTGTTTATGTGATGAGAATTGCCACCTATAAGAAGAAATAAATTTATAATGGAATCAAATTTTATTCAACACAACATGAAGATTAGTCTAGAAACTGCATATTTTTGTACTCATACAAACTGTAATACAAATCACTAACAATGCACTAGCATGAAAAACTGGTCCTATGTCTGATGGAATCCAGTACCATGGCCTTCAAGGATAACTGAATGCCTTAACAGCTGTTGAGGATATGTATAGTTATATACCAAACAGTTCTTTTGGTGAGAGCAGTGTACGAAGAATAATGCAATAACCTAAAGGGACGGAATATACCACAAAAAGGTTTCCTTGCTGCCACTACATATTAAACTTGGTTTAATGAAAAATTCCATTAAGAATGTAGACCAAAATGGCAGTGGGTTTCCCTGTATGAAACAAATTTCCCAGGATCAGCAAGAACAAAATCAAGGAAGCAATATTTATTGGCATGCAAATCAGAGAAATCATAACAGACAGACATCATTGCATGAAACTTCAAGTTGAAAGAAAATCTTGGATAGCATTTGAACCAGTGATGACAAATATGCTCAGAATCGCCAAGGCAGAAAATGACAAGTCACTTGCCATGTAATGGACTATGTCTTAAACAGTTTATCTATTTTATTAGATTGGACTATGTATGTGTAGTTACCAACGGAAAGCTGTAGCTAAACTGAAGTTCAATTCAGCTATGGCTGGTGAAGTCAACAACAGAAAAAGGTATATACAAATAAGCAGTCATATCTATTAGTTTTGAACACTTAAAGCAAACAACCTGAAGACAACCAATGAAGGTCAAAACATGTAATGGATTCTTAATAAACAATGAAACTATAACCCAGAATTGTTGTGTAGATGGAATGCCATCCCAACCAAATAACAGGATGTATCCTTTAAAACCAGTCATTAAAATTAATTTCCTAGATTCACAACTGAACTTTCTCCCAACATACTTGAGTAGTGTTACTGATGAGTATGTGTAATGATTTCATAAATATCCACAATTCAAGAGTAAAACACAAGCTTAAATCATCAGCAGCTACACTTTTGGTAAGTTCAACATGAAATTTCTACTTTGATATTGTTATTGCATATTTAATTTTTGATTCTCTCAAAATTAGTGGGTGAGAGACAATTCTGATGACATTTTCAAAGTCATCATTAAATACTGCAGATACACTCATTTTTCTACACATGACAAAACAAAAGTTTTGCCATTCACTGTTCTTCCAGTTAACAAAGCTAATTTACACGCAGTAAAGGTTTAGGTGAAGTACCTTTGTGAAGAACTGTTACGGTATACCTTCATTATGATGGCACGGTCAAAAGAAGCACGGTTGTGCCTGAAAAAGAACGGTCATGTCAAGAACCAGAATCTTTCTGTTATACATCACAAATTTCAGTTTTATGCAATCAGCTGCAGTCAACCTCCATGATTCATAAGCCATGTAGTTTGACAGATTACTGACTAATGTTTCAAAGGAACTTGGAATAAGCTTTCACATATGGAAACTTCCTCCTCCATTGTGAAATATCAGTACTAAATACTGAAGACTATCAACAACCAATCAGTTTGCAAACTTCAGTTTGATAAAACCGACAGGACACTTATGTCTAGTAAACAATGGTGATCTACACTTGTCTGAACTTCACTAATACCAATTAAATAACACAGATTTTTGTGCCCTAAATAGCAATGTAATACTCTACAAGAAAATAGCTGAAGACAGAAAGTATGGATGTTTTAAAGGTAAAATAACGAAGTACAAAGATTGTTATTAAACTATAGTATATCAGGCAACATGGGTATGAGAGTGCAATGACAGTATTAATGCTAATTAATAAGAAAACAAGCAAGTAATATATTTCAAAACTCAGCACAAAGCAATTTGGCACATTCTTTGACAGAACTCGGGGAACATGTGAGGGGCATTAGTATGGGCATGTGGAATGTTAATTTCTGTAAGAGGTTCTCTACAACCATTTATGAAAAACATACTAAAATGTCAGGAATATGAGCAATACTATGAGCATCTGCTTTTCAAAGGAAAAGAGAACATTACATTTTAATAACCAAGATATTCAGCAGCAATTAAGAAAGCGTGACTCATTAGTTTCATTGTAACATACCATTATTAAAAATCTTGTTTACACACACACACACACAAACTCTTGGACTTTTGATCATATTTGTACTTCACAAAACACATGACTTTGGTCCATTCATACACGGTAGCTCACAGTTACAGTGATTGAAAATTAAGGAAAATATTTCCAAATAAATTTCGCACAGTGTGAATAAATGTAATTGGAAGAACGTAAACAAAAACGGAATTAACGACGAGAATTTGGTAAAAACCTCGACTAGATTCTGTAGGCTTAACAACTTTAAAGAATGAACAAATACAGAAAACAATGAAATTGATAATACTAGTACAAAGACAATGATGATGCCAACGAGATCAACTGCAGTCAGAGCTATACCCCATTTTTGCAAAAAATGTTCTACTTACACATACCACATCGTACTTCATTACAAATGTTGCAAGTTCTGTTATTTCTTAGCTGTCTAATGTGTGTACTTGTGTGGGCTGTGAGGATTCCATAGCATTACTACAATAAATCACTGACACTGACCTTTATTTGCTTCCTGTATGGCAACAAATTAATACTACCATTCTGTCACATACACGTACCTTATAACGGCAAACACAGCGCGGATTGTACCAGAACACTGCTTTAGTCGGAAGCAGGTTCGCAAACCTATACATGTCGCACTACATGACATTATGTCCCTCTTATTAACACATTCCAACGCCAATTAGATACTGTATATCAAACAAATATAGGAAATGGGAAATGAGCTACTGTGTGAATTCGATGAAGTCACAAAGTCTTTCAGCCATAATAATGCAGGTCGAGCGCTCTGGCTCTTCTCCCGTCGATGTTGGGGGCGCGGACACGAACATAGGTTGGAGGTTCCTTTTGGATTCCTGTTTAGGGAGTCTGTACAGCAGTAGGGGGCGTGCTAAACATGTTCTTTAGCTGCAGTTCTGGAAACAGTAGACTAAATTGGTAGTCTGTAAGTCGGGGTCCAATGGTATACAAAGAGGAATTATTCCATTCACATTCTTGTCCATCCTGGCGTTGGACTGTTAGCTGCTGATCGATGACGGGCTACAACTGTCACTGGTGTTGGGACGAAAGGTGTTAACAGCTCATTTCCCTTCCCGCGTTACGGTATCGCCGACTTGTATAGGGCTCTTGCATAATGGCGTCGATCAACATATAGCTTCCCTTTATTCTGAAGTCTCTGCCACTAACGCCTTTTAAAAATTCCAGAACTGAGTCCAGTTTGGAGCGGACTGGCGGCCAAACATCAATTAAGCTCACTCCAGCAATACTAGTTTAGTTCCACAGGCGATGTGACACCTTCGAAGCTCAGCTATCCAATTTTTCTTCTGCGATTGAATTCACGTGTCACGTGAGACGTCGTTTCGTTCTGTTTACACAGGTCTAGAGCCCAAAAACTGATTCTATCGTGCTCGAAGGAACATCTGTTTGATAAAACAACTTCAGAGTCGAACATAGGACTGCGTTTACAGTGTTAGTGGGGAAATTCGACAATGCTTACATTTTTACTAAAATTTATTACCGGAAACGTTATCGTAGGACTGATCATTCGATACGTATCTGTAAATGTAATAGGAAACAATTCAACTGGGGAAAAAAAACTCAAACAGGTAGCCTGATTATACTGTAGGCTGTTAGTGTTGGCATTTGACTTGTCTTGTAAAACAATCATATACTGCAAGTAATTCCCTACAGAAAAATTACATTTACCAGAACTCGAATCCAGGGCACTTTTCTTGCAGTTATCACCAATAGTAAACATCATTAGTACTTGTGGTACAGGAAACCTCACCAGGAATCAAACCATGGACAGTACCTTTGGGTTTATGATGCTTGTTCCTGTAATCTAATTGTAGAAACAAACAATGCTGGTCGAGTTCACTATTTCGATTGGTGGGGTCAAATAATGTACTGAATACCATTTAAATAACTTGAACATGAAAGAGTTTAATTTGTTTTTAATATGTCTTCAAAACTCATCCACAGGGCAATATGTTTGCATTCAAGACTCATCTGCAAAATTGTAGCCCAGTAAGAATATACAAGGTCATATTACAAAGTATTTCTGTGTATGTATGTACGTTTTGGACAGGAAAGATGACAATAATCAGCTACAGTAATAAAACAAACTTACTGTGAGAAAGTGAGGCAATCAGAAACAAGCTTGCAACAAATGTCATGCCAGTGTTACCACTAAAACTGATCTGACTGTATGACTATTATAACAAATAGTTACCTGACCCAAACAACCTTAATATAAACCATGACAGAAAAATATGGTCTCTGTTTATCTTGAGTCCAAGTCCTGTACAGTGATAGCAAGCTCTTCACACAGAACAGCAGGAGAAGCTGATTGCATAATTTGAGGTTTTCATAGCGGTGAGTCCGAAGATGGCTGTCTTCAGGGTAAACTTCCACCAGACTACACGCTGCAACCCGGAAGACAGCCATCTTCAGGTGAAGCTGAATATTTGCTGCCATTTTCCTCTCTATGGTATGACCTAACAAAATTCAAAGTGCAAACCTGCTTCTGTGCAGGCATCATATCTTGAAAAAATGTTTCTAGACACATGGCAAAGTTGTCTTGGAATAACAGAAATTTCATACCAAATTTTTTTGTTCTTGTAGTGAATTAGAATTATTCACAGACAATTTATCTTTTAGTGTGCCCCATAAATGAAATTCATAAAGATTTAAATTAGGTCAGCAGACATTCTACAGTCCTTCACTTACCATTCATTCACCAAAAATTTCAGGGAAAACACTCACAGGTTAATGAGCTGTGTAGGCTGTAACATTGTCCCATATGAAGTTCCAATGTGGTTTTTTCTTCAGTCAATTGCTCAAAAAAGGTTGTCAGAATTTACTGCCCTATTATTCTTCGAGCGCTAATTGTGCATCCCACTCTAACTTTGCAAATCACATACAGGCACACTGCTTCAAGAATGAGTGTGCACTGGCCTGAGCAAGCAAGGGATTTATAGTTAATTTTCCAGGGAGAAGCAGATAACTTGCTGACTTCAGCAATCAAGTCTTTCAATCTCATCATAAACTGGTCAATCCCAATGCCCATCATATACATTAGATACTGGCTGTGATAATGTGATAAAAAACATAGGATTACATTACCATTTGCCATGGGTTCAACTAAAAGACTTTCACATTCCTGCCCTCAAGTTTGCTTCACATTTTCTTAATGATTTTACAATAACAAAAATGCAAGCTAGAGATATAACTACAACTTCTTTCACTGAAATCACTTGAAAAATTCAGTCCTATTTCTTTTAACTTATGAATAAGTATTTAAATTTATATTAAACAGCAACTGAATCATTTGCCCTATACTACTCCATGAAGATAGTGACTTTATGTAAGCATAACACAAAATAAAAGTGGCACTAATTTTAATTTAATTTAATTTGATGTCCTAACAGTATCTTCATTTAGATCTTTTTGTCTTCACTTTTACCCTGTCATCCAGCCTCTCCTTAGTTGATGTCTCTGCCAAAAAAGGGATGAACACTGAATGGCCAGTTTTCTTAAGATGATCAAATAGTTTATTCTTAGATGGAAATTCAGAATGACAAGTAACACAGCAATGATTTAAATCTTTGATATTATCAGTGACATCATTTCCATCTTTTGTGCCCTTCTTTTTCACCCCCTTAGCCCTTTTATTCTTTACTTTAACATAATCTGCATCATCTGATTTTCCTTCTTCCTTCATTCCATCTGCATCTTCTTTCCTATTATTAACTTTCCCCTCCTTTGATACATCTACTTTTATGTCTTTTCTTGTAACTTTTGCTTTCCTTCCTTTCAGTTTCTCTGCAGAAACATCAAAATCTTCACTCAAATTCTCTGTTGTGATACTGTCAGCAATATTATTCTCAGCCCCACTTTCTTCAGTGTTGATATCAGAAGCTATTCTCTGCTGCACCTGCATCATCTGACAGTGCTTTTTACGTTGCTTCTTAGACCATCCTAAAGACATATGGAATTCAATGTCTGATGTACTTTCATCAGTAACATTACAAATATTTGCTACCCTGATTTTGTTTTGTTTCTTGATTTTCTTTTTTGATTGTACTTCTAGAGGTTCAGATTCCTCTAATTCAATTTCTGAACATATATCAAAATCAGATGGAATTTCATTTAAGGATGTAATTTCCAAACAACCATAAGAATCTTCAATACTTTGTTTATTTTCTGACACAGCCAATGCCTCTTCTTCATCCAACACCGATGCTTTCAACACTTCGACACTCTCTTTATGTTTCCTAGAGTTCTCATGATTTGAAAATGCTCTCTCAGTTTTGAATACTTTGTTACATGCAACACAATATAATGAGTTAACAGCTGCTTCCAACTCTTCTTCCCTATCACTTTCAGACTCTCCATATGAAGATGCATCCCTATCCCCAAATTCTGCGGCAAGATTTGCTTCAATAGCTGCAAGTTCTTTTTCAACATTTGAAAATTTTGTCCATTCTGATTCTTTATAATTTTTCATTGCTTCTTGTCGTTCCTTTAAATGCTTCTGTCTTCTCTCTTCTACTTTTTTTGCATTTTCTGCTGTACGTTCTTCTAACAACTTCACATGTGATTGGACTCGTTTATCCCTTTTACGAACAAATGCCACCAGGTTTCGAACTTCCTCATTCCGCTGTTTACGGGCTTTATCACGAATTTTCTTGTTTTCTTTCTCCACTACACGCACAACGCGCCTGTTCGGAGCATCCCTGATATCATATGGATCTAACCAAGCATATGATTTCTTTGTAGAATAACTCTGCCAGTATGCATAGAATGGATGCACTACATCTTCATAGGAACTTTTTGAGTTACCAAAGCTTGGTGCTTCAAAATCACTATCATCGCCTGTCATATATTCTGAATCTTCTGCTGCCAGTTTATTGAACACCTCTCTGTACACTGCATAAAAACCTTTATCATCATCACCATAACCTTTAAAGCATGAGGGTGTGAAGTAATGAAATACATCAAGGCTATCATCCTTATAATCACTTCCAGCGCCTCTAAGAATGGACTCTCTGTGAGAATCATACCACGATCGTTCATGAGGATCACTTAAAACCTCGTACGCTTGTTGCACAAGCTGAAACTGCTCTCTGGCTTCTGATACATTGTCAGGATTTTTATCTGGGTGCCACTTCAAAGCTAGTTTCCTGTACGACTTTTTCAATTCTTCGTCACTTACATCTCTTGGAACTCCTAGCACGTCATAATAACACTTCATCATATTATATCGATCATTAAACGAATTTCTCAATAATGTATATACAAGTGGTAAAACAACGAGGTCGACGGAGAAATAACCTCACATTCTTCAAGTCACAAATGTAGTTTTCACGCTCTAATTTGGCAACATGATAAAAGTTAAAAATATAATTGTTAAATATATCTACCATTACGAAACGCAAGTCTAAATGTCATTAATTGAACAAATAGCACGGGTCATCACCTACATTCGACAAATGGTGCAGTTACACACGACCTGAGAGCTGACACAAATCTCTCACGTGGGTTGGTAATAACAGTATGTTGGCAACGGTATGAATATCTTACCCGTGATTAGTATTAAACACATTTAATACCAACATAGGCATTAAATCATGGGTAGTTGGTATTATTACTGTCTGGTATTGGTTTGAAATGCATTAATCACACTATTCGTATAGTCATGTGCTTTGATAGTAAAATATCAAACGTTCAGGAATCTGCAAGCTGATTTTTATCATTTTATTACTCCTTGTAACTTCATGTTTACTGCAGATTCTCATGATAATTAAATGTACATATTATCCACCTTCATATCGCTATGCCACAGTTGGCCAATGGTAACCAGGAGCAATAATTTGCCTTTTTGCCAAATCTCTTGACACAGTTATAAATGATGATAGCATGCTAAATCGTCATGCTAATTTATAAATGATGATAGCATGCTAAATCGCCATCATTCTGTATTAAAAATGCTAATAAATTAGGCCTACTATTGTAAATGGATTCGCATATTACATAACTAGTTCAAATCTTGCTGTGGAGCATTTTTGTGGTTTCTCCCAGACTCTGCAGCTAAATGCAAGGATAGTACCTTAACCCTGTCATAGGCTAGGGTCAATATAATTCCCAAAAAATGTCCTTTCTTTAGGTTCAAGGGAATTCTGCTGTCCAATGACACAAGCTGTCATGTAGCAGCAGGTCAAGAGATGTTGGAGAAACACTAAAAAAATGTTGCCACCAAGTTTCTGCAGCTGGAGTTTAATGTTTTACTTTGACTTTTGGGAATAATTTACATTGAATCTTGAGAGTTTTCTATTATGCCAAACATTGCATTTCCCATCTTCAGGGTAAATGTACTGGGAAGACTGTGTAAGGCTTAAATGTTTAAAAATACTTGAGATTTGACTTGATTTATCTCAAAAAGCTTAAGTACATACTAAACAATTTGTCACACATGACAACATGGTTCAGTGAACATCATTGTATATGTTTATAAGCAGGAAAACATTTAATTTTATTTTTTGTGGTTTATTTAATAGCAAGGTATTATTCTGGCATTTGCCTAGAGGGATTAAGGAAATCCACAAGAAACTCAGCGAGGACAGCTAGTTTCCACACTAAAACTGAACCTAGGATCCCCACAATAGACCAATCAGCTATAACATTTTTCATAGAAAATAACTTACATTTCCAGGGGAAAGAAGACATAAGTTCAAGCCATTAATCAACACATACAGGTAAATTTATGGCTGCAGAGACTTTTCATTAATATGCATGATATTAACTTCTATCATTCACTACTTAAATTTCTTGGCTCTGTGCATGCATATGGCATTTAATCAAACTCAAAAGACGGAATATTACAAAATATAGAGTATTTATTACATTTTTAAGCTAGAAATTTCAAATGAAACTGCAATTGACAATGATACCATTTACTTGAAAATGAAGTTTTGTAATAAACAGTATTTGTAAACACACGTAGTTTATGTTCACTTTCAGTTATTTAGATTAGTTTTGCATGTTTTAGTTGATTATTCTTTGAATTTAACCCCATACTGCAGAATTGGAGTGGTAGAAAGTCTTGAAGTATCTGTACTTAGCATGGAATTTCTGTATCTTTTGTCAGCACTCATATTCAAGCCTCACAGAATTCTTTGTCAGTGGTTCTGATTAAAATACATTTTATCAACAAGCAACTGTATGAGTGGTTGCAAATCACAGAAGTAAAAATGGCATAAGGCATGCAATCCCATACCTTGATTTAACCTCTTCAGCATGCACATCACATGAATGAATTGCAACAAAAGTTTGATGCAGCTGATTGTGACTCAGTCTGTTCAAGCAAATGTAGCAGGTTCCACAGCAATGGATTTCTGCTGAATCAAAAGTTTTTATTTATATCCTACAGATTTTATTCCAGGCACTCCACTGCAGAAGAGTCAATCTGAGAATCTGAAATCCCTTGGCCTATATTGTGGTTGCAGCTAAGAGGGAAAGTAACTAAATTATTCAGCTAACATAGTTTAAAAGTAACTTTACACTGCATTGTGTTGAGATGTAATAAGTTCAGTTTTATACTCCACAGAACACAACAAAACAGGACAAGACATCCACAAGCAGGGATGAGATGGTGACTGTGTAGAGACAAGGTTGAATTTATTCAAGACAATAACAACAAGGCATATGATAAAGAGTGACAAAACAGAAGATTATCTGACAGAACAACTTCTAATTCCACCACAAGGTTTGTAAAGTGGGGTCAATTGATAAGCCAGATGAACAGAGGCTCCCATGACCATATCATAGCCAAACGATCTGATGAGGATGATGAGGATGAACAGAGGCTCCCATGACCATATCGTAGCCAAAAGTCTGATGAGGATGATGACAAGATAACACCACCCCCATCTGCACCCAAAGATGTCCAAGTGGGGACAACATACAGATCAGACAGACAGGAGTGTACCAGCTCACTAATGACATACATGGCAAATAGAATGTGACACCCCATTTTAACTACATAGTGTTTTTATGCTGTATTTTGCTTCCGTTATCTCTCTGCTGGCGGAGACTAACATATATTACCACCAATACTTTGGACACACTGAATGAGACATTCTCCATTACCTGACATTACTGAAAATGAAATGTTTATTTCTGGTGATTATCACAGAACTTCAAATGCAACAGCCTGGCAGACTGTTGGTCAGTGACCGAATGTTTATTTCTGGTGATTATCACAGACCTTCAAATGCAACAGCCTGGCAGACCAACTGACTTAACAGTTCCTTACACCATTCTATGGCAAAATAATAAAACATGACAGATTCTTTGAAATTATTCAATCCCTAAAGTTTTCAAACGACAGTGCTACTGACAAAAATTACCTAAACTGACACCACAGAAAGCGAGAAATATTTTTGACTTGCTCAATAAAGCCTACTCAAAATATGATGCTCCTTCTGAACATCTGGCTGTGGACAAAGTTCTAGTAATTTTCAAAGGAAAGGTAATTTTAAAACAATAAATCTCCAAGAAACACTAACATTATGTATTAACGAGTGCTGGGAGACTACAAAACCACAATCCATCCTACAAAATGGGTACATAAAAGAAAACATGATGTTTGATGTATTCTGGTGTTCTGCTGAATGAAACATATCAGTACTGAGTTGCACACAGCCCAGCACATGGGTCTTGTAAATTAAAGTTGTATCCTTCCAGGAACGTTGTTGCATATAATTTAACATTTTTACATGTCCAACGAGTAAAGCAAAGTATATAATAGCAATTTAAACTGACTGGTCAAGTGAATTTAAATTGCATAGCAGAGGGTTAAACTATTTTCTGTGTAAGTATAATTAATAATATTAAAATAATGATATTGATTGTAGTCTTCTGAGTTGTGACATCATACAGTCTTGTAGGTGGTAACCATGTACCACCTATTAGACTACAATGTGTCACAACCTGGAAGACCACAATATTTATATAATTCATAATGTTTTTGCATGATCTGGAGCTTTCATGGTGACTAAGTATAATAAATTATTCTTGGGCTACCAGCCATGTCAGATGGTTTGTTCACTTTTCAACCATCTGTATGTTAGCCCAAGAATAATTTATTATTCATAATGTTCTAGTTATAATAGAACTAAAATGAAACACAGTACATTATTTCATTCTGCACATAGCACTTCTAGATCAATTCGATATGTACACAATTAACATACTATATTACAACACAGAATTTAAAATGTTCACAAAAGAATTCACAAATTTCAAACATCTGGAATCATGTAATGGGCTGGTAAGTATTCTGAACAACTCTACCAGCATTGTTGGATATTGCATGCATTTCATTTTATACTTAATTTAACTGGGCATACATAAAACATCTAAGCGATGGTCTAATAGAAGTTTACATTTTGATTAATCATCATCTGTATATAAGAATATTTAACATAACATAAATATGAACATCTACAGTACATCTCTTGCTTAAAAAGGAATATGTACCATATTCTCAAGGTCCTAAGTCATGTTTGTACATACTACTTATCACACAGTAGTTTGTTCAGTAATGGTTTTGTGACATTTATGTACGCAGCAAAATACACATTTCTATATACCCATGTAAGTTACCCTAAAGTATTTATAATCCTATCCAAGATACTTTAAAATATTTGGCAAATTATTGTTGGCAGGTTCCTGCATTTCACATATTTCTAAGTTCAATATCAAAGGCAACCCCATGAATCAGTATGCAGTACCATCAGTAACATCTGATAATAAACTAATGAAACTATTTTGTAAGAATCTCAGATTGTGTTCTTCTGGGTTGTGACACCATACAGTTTTGTAAGTGGTTACAAAGAAAGTTTTCCACCCACTACATCAGAACAGACTTGGCTAATAATCGGACTTGCAAGAAACTGATAATGTTTGTGTCTGCACAATACACATTTAGGTCTGTGCTATTTCTTAATTTTTACATTGGTGTAACAAATTCACCTGTAGTACTGTTTAATAATGGGGTAAACTTCATGACAGATGAAAGCAGTTTCAAGGAAAAATGTAACAAATACTTTTGTATTTTAACAATTTTACTGAAAAGGGCAATCGTTCAATCAATTATTGGCAACCTCCTCAAGAAAAGTAAAAAGTAAGTTATATAAACTGTATTTCAGCTTACAGACATCAAATGCACTTCAGTCATTTGTATATCTACAAGAAACCATTTGGAAGCAAGTAAACCATATTTATCCATATAATTTTCATGTCTCCATTTATATTACAATTATCTGAAAGTCTATTCTCCACTCAGTTTCACATCAATTTCAGATTAATACTGATGCTACTATTCTTCCCTCCACAATACTGCATTCCTGACTCATTCTTCACTACACAATGTCCACCCATACACCCTCAACAACTTTCCATGCAAAATATCACCACCTTATCATTTATTTTCTGTGACTGTGCTGAACAGTGGATGGTATATTTGAAGACAGTTATAAAAACTGTGCTGTTATAAACATTTAACTATTAAGTTTAATAACTCTAATACATGTGATGTAACATTAGCTCTGATAAATGAATATATCTCAGTAGCCAATACATATGTGTAAACACAGAAAAAAGCAATACATACAATTTTTGCCAAATCATACAAAACAATGTTATATGAGAAATTTCTCCCAATTTTTACACTAATATTGCAACTAAAATATAGGCCAATGAATAATACAGGTAAATATAATGCTGCATTGTTTACTGTTAACTCTACTCAGATTTGATGCTTTTGATCTTTTTTAATGTATCTGCCCATTAAGTATCTTAAAATCTGTGCAAATGATTAAATTAATGTATTCATGTAATATTTTACATTGAAAGCAACCCTAAGAAATTATAACATTACTTTCAGCTACAATTTATAGATGAAAATTACACATACATTTTTGTATCATCAGTCTGAAATACACATTTCTAACAGCTTACAGTAAGAATTTCTCTTCCATGTCCAGTCTAGTATATGTATTCATAGCAAATACAAAGACTGAAATGAGATTATACTAGTTAGTGAAATGCATCAATGATGTGAGACAGTTTTATACATTAAATCGAGTTTCAGAGCCATCAGCTAACATGAGCGACACTGTTCGGTTGTTAATCCAGATGAGACGTGCCAGTCTCATAGGGTTTAGACGAGACAAATCAGCAATTGGTGCAGTAGAGTATGATTTTATGCAACGTGTCTGTGAATTTCCCAATCCAAACATTCCAGTGGATGTCTGTAAAACAAGAATTGTTTACATGCATATTTTTACAGCAGAATTTTCAACACAAGTCACAGGAAGAATAAAAATAATCTTGTTCAGTTATGTGACTACATCTTGAAACTTTTACTTTCTAATTAACAAAACAAATAAGACAATTTTCAACACAAGTCACAGGAAGAATAAAAATAATCTTGTTCAGTTATGTGACTACATCTTGAAACTTTTACTTTCTAATTAATAAAACAAATAAGACAAACTGAAGTGTAATTCACAACCTATCGAAACCTTGATCAAAGCCTCGGACAGACGGATCTAACAGAGGACCGAATGGAAGAGGAGAAATGAGGAGGCCATGGACCGAATACGGACCGGACAGCCATAGAAGAATAAAAATAAGATAAAAAAAGAAAAGTTTAGCTGCAACATGTTCAATGATGAACGGAAATAAAACATGAAAATGGCACAGTTTGACGGAACAGAAGTGTGACGGCTTCAACATGTTCAATGATGAACGGAAATAATACATGAAAATGGCACAGTTTGACGGCTCTGGTGCTCATGTCATAAAGTGAAGCTCACATCATCTGAAAATTTATGTGTGCACACTGTAAGGCAAGTATCTGGTACTGAAGAAGGTTTCAAGGATAATTTTCATAAGTTTATTCCTTCTGATGAGGCATGGTTTACTTTAAGTGGCTATGCGAAGAGTCAAACAGCCATTACTAGACGGAATAAAATCTCCATACTGGTCATGATGTCTCTACATCATCTAAAATGTGGGAATGTGATTTGTAACCACTGCACACTGAATAATAAGGCCTGACTGTTTTACTAGAACAATATATTTTTAGTGCAATATTACACTAATTCTACGAATGTTCTTCAATGAACTGAAAGAATATATAGGTAATGTATGTTGGAGAATATCACAGCCCAAACTGCAAATGTTTCAGACACCATAATTTCCTCAGCTAATGGTCTGGCTTTCATGATATCTATATTGAAATCGATATGATTTTATACTTGAAGGACAGACAAAGTGAAAAGTCAAAATATATTAGAACTGAAATATGACATAAAAAAAATATGTTATTTCAAAATAACAACTTTGTGATGTCTAAAGGCATTTTATTAAGATGTGAGACCAGTTTAAAGCAGAATAGCAGTACTTGAGACACTTCTCTAAACGTAAGTATAATTTCATGGAACTGGAATTTCTCAGCAATCATTCCCTAGCTGTGCAGAAAGTTGTCTATCAGCTCTACAAAGCTCAGTCCCACAATTAAAGATACTTCAATCTAAAACCTCTGACTGACAGTCAGATCATATGAAAATTTCTCTATAACACATAAAACACAGTGTTAGAACTAATTTGTATACTAATATTTACCTGACTATAAGACAGTTTTTTTCAATACAGAGGGCTGTCTCAAAATTCATGAACAGTAAAAAATTCACAAGAATAAATGATCTGATGATTTCTGTATGTATAGACATATGACAGCTGTGACCCCTGTATGTATAGACATATGACAGCTGTGGCAAATATTAAAAATCAAAAATCCACAAAGTATTGTCACAATATGAGAATATTTATAAAACAGTAATCATCAGATTTTCATTACCATTACCATCATACTAACATACATGTTATCCAGCTCTATGTTTTTGAACACTACACTATATCAAGTGGCTAAACTTTTGTACATTTTGTTAATGACACAAAATCCACCAGATAAAAATGATGTTGGAAATGGATATATTGTTGCAGCAATGAGTTTTGATATATGCTACTGATGCCAGACGCCACTTACTTACAGACTGATCCTTTGTGAGACTGTTAAAAATTGAGTTAAATAAAAGATAAAAAACTAGAGCTAATATTGAAAAATTATACAGCATTTATGTAATTTGTTTTAAGAGTCCTATATTTAAAGTGTTTTACCTAATAAACAGAGTTTAATAAATTACTTTATGCAGACATGTAAGCAAGAGACTTGATATTCAGATTACTTCATTCCCATTTTCATATAATACAAATTTTATAGTAATGGTTATCATGAATGCCAAAAAGATTTTAATTATTCTGCTGGTTTAAGAAAAAACAGTACTTCAGGGGAGGAGGGAATGAAAAATTCAGTGATGGAGGACAACTAGACAATTACTTTAGAGCAAGTAACATATTCTGTGCACCTACAAACTCCATCTTGAAAGGACAGATAAAAGCAGTACTTGCAAGAATTCCTGATTCTTTCTAAAACAGACTAGAACTTCATGACCCAAAGTGCATTTCCAAGAATTCAAGGTTATTTCAGAGAATGGACTGGGTATCTATGCTTTTGCTGTTTCTGTATATATTTTGTATTTGGACCATACTTTGTATGACAATTACACAGGCAGTCTGATCATTAAGGTACTTCTTATTTCACATTACCTGCCAGAAGGACAGTCGGTTCTCCTTACAGCTGTATGTTGACAGATACTTCCCATCCGGTGAGAATGTGTTGGCCGTAATGGCCGCCCCATGGGCTTGGATCATCTGCAAGTATTTGAGAGAAACCTTTCAACGTTACAACAGGTAGGTTCAGTGCAACTGTCAGAGTATTTCCATTCTTCCTGTTATTGTCCGCAAAGGGGGTTGGAGTGGTGAGGAAGAGGGAGACGACGAATGCGAGCCCGAAGCTTTGCCGAGTTTTGCCGAAGCACACGCTGCATTGGCGAAAGTGAAGTCGTTCTTTTATGCGCTTAATATTAGTGAACGTGACGAAGAAAACATTTTGAACGTGGAAAGTGCTCTGTTTGGTCTAAAACGTAAAGTTTCAACAAACCAGTTGTCCATTAAAGACTTTTTTGGTAGAAAGAAGTAACTTTGAAAGAGAAACAGTTTTTTTTTAAAAAATTTAATGCTTTCCCGCATCTATCGTTTTCCCGCATTCATCGTTTTTATTTCCCACCCCCGCCGAAAACGATGCATCGAGGTTTCACTGTAATACCATACTTGGCTAACTTAAAATAACTTACAATAAAATAGGAAACAAAAAGAAGGGAGGCAATTTATAGCATAAAAGATAAATTAAATTATTTTTAAACATAGGAACCTATAAGAATTTAAAACTTTAAAAAAATGAAGATAAACAGAAGCAGCTTTAACATTCACAATCAAAGAAACATTTTGTACTAAATACACAGAAATTAGGCTGTGTCAGCTTTGGCACTTAATCACAGGCTTCAGAAGCACCAGTTCACGCCCATGACAGTCCATGTGTGATTTTAATAAACAAAGTGGCCTTAGGACAGGCAATTCTTAGAGTGGTTCAGTTTCCTCATTCATTGCTGTTTCATATTCATATTAATATTCGTACTGATGAATCATCTCAGGGCTGGAAAATGCTCCTGTTGGGAGTCTAGTTCCAAATGGACACAGTCTTTGCAGCAGTAGCAACAATAAAAATTATATGGCTATCTTATAAGCAAAACTACCTGGCACTTTTGTGACCGTAATTCGTAGAGAGCAACATGCCCACTTTTAGCTCCAACAGCTATACGTCGTGTGCTTGGACAATGGCTAACTTGGTTGAATCTACAAACTGCTGGGAAAACCTCTCCGAGACCTTTTGTTTTAAGATGGCCAGGGTCTAAACAATGCAAAACAATGTCCACAACCTGCAACAAGGTGAGAAGTAATAGTAATACTACATATAACACACCTTATAATATAAATGACATTTATAACATGAGATAAACTCCAGCATGTACTTCATGTAGAAGACCTAACAGAAAGCCAATTTCCAGACACATCCCATCCACTGCTAGATATATCTGTCATCAGAAATATTAATTTGGAAGCAATCACAGAGATAGTTTTCATGCAAGCACGTCTAAACATGTTGCCCATTCAGTCTTCTTTTAGACTAGTTGACAAGAATGGCAGTAAAAGGAAGAATGGCAAGTGCCCATTCTCTGCAAACTTCACATGAGCCATCTTCAAGTATGAAGATAAAGTAGAGAGAACTGCAACAACAACATTTTGCAAATTTCATTGAAAGGAATCTTGTACACTCAGTTCAACAAAAATCAAGACCTGAAAATTGTCCATGTCTGAAACCAGAAGTGATGTTAAGCACATAGCTCGTGTCATAATTCTAATCATTCAGAATCTCCTTGTATTCATCCATATGTGGCTTTTCCACAACTTCCCTTATTTACAATTTACTATCTAAACCTCTGAAGATCAGAATATATAAAACAATAATTTTGCCTGTTGTCTTGTATGGTTGTGAAACATGGTCTCTTACCTTGAAGGAAGAATGTAGATTACAAGTGTTTGAAAACAAGGTACTCAGAAGCTATTTGGACCTCGGAAGGATGAAGTAAGTGGGGAATTTAGAAAATTACACAATGAGGAGCTGCATGAATTGTACAGGTTACCTAGCACAGTAAGGATAGTAAGGCTCTGATGGGCTGGACATGCATCACGCATGGGAGGGGTGTGTTTTGGTAGGGAATCCTTCTATAAAATGAACACTGGGCAGACCAAGAAGGAGACGGGAGGATAACATCAAGATGGATCTTAGGGAGGTGGGCTGTGAAGATGGTAAATGGAGTTGGCTCCGGATCATGACCGGTGGCTGGCGTTGGCGTTGGTGTTGGACCTGTGGGATCTGCTACCAGGGAATTCGGTTGGTTGAATAATATATCTGTTCAGTTTAAATGAGTATTTGTTTGAATAGACATACACATTAAACAACACAACATCAGGACTTCAACCTACTTATCTATCAGGAAATATGGAAGGTCAAGAAAAGTATAGTTTTCACCTCCATTTTGCCATGGACTTGGTCACACGTCACAGAAAATTTAGGGCCATGTCGGTTAGTATGACTTACTTAAAAATTAAAAGGATTAATTAAAGGCACTTTTAAGCTCTCCATCATGTTAATCCTAAAACTATTTTGTTCCATTAGAAAAACTTAAATTATTTAAAGTTATTTCAATAACTTTAAATTTATCTTTAAACAGTAACACCAAACATATAGCAGTGCATGGATTTTAAAATATTTCAGATACAATTAGGTAACAATGACCTGCATTTGATAGTGCATAAAGCATAAACATTAATATTTCAACAAAATGGCATCATGAACTAGTGATGATGCTGAGGATGATGTAAAAATAATCATCATTAAAGACATCAACAACGATTACCTCAACAAGCAGGTCAGCCATCTCATTTTGCATTTTATCAATGAGAAGTTCAACACCTCTTAGGATCTCAGGCTTGGCTCTGTGCAGAACTGAATTACTGAGGTTCACATTCAGGGCCTGTGCATTCTGTTGGAGTGTGTTATACCGGGCAACCTATAACAGAGTAACAGATTGTATAAATATATATATTGATTTACTTAAATATTAAATTGCACCATGCATGTGAGAGATGAGAAATGAGTACAAGGTCTGGTTGGAAAGCCTGAAAGGAAGAGACCCCTTGGAAGACCTAGGCATAGATGGGAGGATATAATTAAAAGGGATCTTAGGGAAAAAGGGAGTGGATAGATTCATCTGGCTCAGGATTAGGACTGATGGCAGGCTCCTTAGAACACAATAATGAACTACGCAACATGTTTTGGACACACATGGTCCATTCTTAAGCTACTATCTACGAGGGTCGCTCATTAAGTAATGCCCCACATTTTTTTTCTCAGCCAATAATGAAGATAGAAAAGTGTACTTTTACATGCTTGAGATTTGATGTTTCCCGCGTTCGTGTACGGAGTTTCAAATGATTCCAACCGATAGCGGAGCTGTAGTGAACTGTTAAAATGGCGTCTGTGAACGACTCTCGTTACAAGCAACGAGCTGTAATTGAATTCCTTGTTGCTGAAAAAGAAACGGTGGTGAACATTCATAAACGTTTGTGTGCTGTGTATGGAAGCTGTGCAGTCGATAGGAGCACCGTTGGTCGCTGGGCTAAGAGAGTTAAAGCTTCAGGAAGTGAAGAAACCGAGCTCCGTGATCTGCCGCGCTCTGGGCGTCCTGCCACAGCCACCACTCCAGACATGTTGAACCGCGCGGATGCCATTATTCGTGAGGATCGGCGCATCACAACTCGACAATTGGCCCAACAGCTTTCAGTCAGCAATGGAAGTGTGATTGCAATTATCCGGGCTCTTGCATATTCGAAGGTGTGCGCAAGATGGGTTCCACGAAGTCTCACAGCAGACCACAGGATTCAAAGGAAAACGATTTCTTCTGAATTGTTGGAGCGTTTTGATGCTGAGGGAGAGGTCTTTCTGTCCCGGATCATTACAGGTGACGAAACCTGGATACACCACTTTGAGCCAGAGACAAAAAGGCAGTCAATGGAGTGGCATCATCCTCAATCACCGAGAAAGAAGAAATTCAAGACAACTCCCTCCGCCGGAAAAGTCATGATGACTGTCTTTTGGGACAGTGATGGGGTCATTCTTGTGGATGTGATGCCAAGAGGTGCGACCATCAATTCAGACGCGTACATCAGGACCCTGAAAACCCTCAAGAAGCGTTTTCGACGAGTTCGGCCTCACAAGCATCCAGCAGAAATTTTGCTCCTGCACGACAATGCACGCCCTCACACAAGTCTGAGAACCCGGGAAGAAATCACCAAATTGGGTTGGACGGTGCTACCCCATCCACCCTACAGTCCAGATCTGGCACCCTCCGACTTCCATCTCTTTGGGCCCCTTAAAGATGCTATCCGCGGAACAAGATTTGAAGATGACGAGAGCGTGATTCAAGCAGTGAGGACATGGCTACGGGGACAGGACAAGAGCTGGTACCGGCAAGGCATGCATGCCCTTGTTCCACGCTGGCGTAAAACCGTACAAGTTGATGGGGACTATGTGGAAAAATAGTATGTGTAAAGGAAACATTGATTTATATTGTCACTAAATTTGAGCCATCTTGAATAAATATGTTCTGAGGAAAAAAATGTGGGGCATTACTTAATGAGCGACCCTCGTAGTCAAATATTATGTATATTAGCAGTGATATAAAGTGTATTTAAGATACAAAACATGCATCTAAAACCTTGTGAGAGCAGAAAAAATTAATTATCTTTGTTGTATGTTAAAAAGTAAAAGCAGTCATGCTACACGCCATGTAGGTCGCCTGGGGGGGGAGAGTCATGTAAATAAATGCACAGTGCTTATTACATATATTACTTTGTTGTGTGAAGACAATTAATAATAATAATCTATATGACTATATCCACATCATGATGCTACAATATAATCTGATGATAGTAATGAACCTTTGGGTTCAATGAAAGGTAGAGGATTTCTTGACTAGTTACTTAAATTGATTATACATGTAAAGTGGATCCCTGTTACCATTTCACTGTGTTCTCAGACTGTCTCAAGGTACAGACAGCAGCCATATGTCAAATAAGCAACCACAGAGCCCTAACAGCCTGAAGGTTGAACATGAATCTAACAACCCTTCACTACATGAACTACTTTGTTGCTAACATACCAAGAAACCTCTGAATTCAGAACTGGATAGGTGTTTGACACTACCTAACCAACAGCAAGAGGATACAAGATTTGGAATTTCAAATGTCAGAGGCCAGGCATGTTGAAATCAGTAGCAAGAAAATTAGGAAAGTATTGGCTAAATTTAATGGGCATACGGGAAGGGAGGAGAATAATATTCTACAGGCAACTGATTACATATTTTTCCACACAAAAGGAAATATTAGCCATCACTTAGAGACAATACTGAGGAAATTAGCTCAACATGTTTAATTTTTGTGGCAAGACATGCCTATAGCAGCAGAGGCCAATGCTTCTTAACACATTGTCTTATAACTTATCCCATCTGAGAATTTGTGTAAATTTGGAGTTGCAGTTAATTTTATGTTTCTTTTATTAATATTCCACTATATAAAACTAATATACTTCCAAGTGTTTTGAGATGTTTTCTCTTAACTTGAGGGAAAAAAGACCTGAAAAAATGATGGTAATATCTAGTTAACAGAAATGAAACAACAGAAGAATGCTGAAAATTAAATAATAACGGCTTTACTGAACTGGACTGAATCTGTACTAAATACATAAAACTCACCTCTCTTGCCATAGTGGTAATGAAGGCAGCAGGACGTGCTGTAGCTATAAGGGTGAGGGCATGGCGAGCTGTACGACATGAATCAGCTGCTGGTGTTAGTGGCAGTCCGTATGTCATGCTATCACACACACAGTTCAATGATTTAAGAGAGAAAAAATTCTATATGCAGGAAGGGATCACCCTATCAACTAAATAGCCTATGCTCCAGTTCAACTATGTGATGGCTCCTTGTTACTGAACTTTGTCTATTGCATTTATATTTCTCTTTTCTACAGCTTAGTTATAAGGCATGTGCAGACAGTAAGTGGTATTACATTAAGTTCTATCAAATGGAAATAAAAGGGATGGAAATGATAACGGTCTAAATAGGAATGACACTATAAGCCAATATTGTGTAACCCATGACTGTACGCAGACTTCAGCCTGAAAGACCCAATCTGCCGCTTTGAAAAAGAGTATTAGTGTAAAAAAGAAAAGAAAAGAAAAGTAAAGATGTCCCACTATATTTATATATATTTCTTTTTTTACTGAGTAATGAAAACTGGTCATATATGTGAAAAAATATATGACATCACATGACAATATCATTATATGCAAAGGATGTGATATAACGCTACACTTCGGAAATTCTGAAGAAACAAAATTTCTAGCAAAGCAGTAGTTATGCATATCAATGACATGATACTTTGAAGAAAGTACAATCATATAAGCAGTAAAAATACATTATGAGTAATTCCTACACCATCCAGCTTCATCTAGGTCTCGTAGAACATGCCCAGAATATGATACTTATCTGGTGTTGCTGTAGCATTTTTTAACCTTTATCAATGAGCCACAGTAATAAAATTAACATACCATTATGTAAAGTATTTTTAGTTATGATGCTAAAGGTCTGTTTTGCTGAAGTAAATAACTCTGTATACAGACACTTACTACCATTCTTTTTAGCAGCTTTCTCAAGCATCAAGCATAAAAGTAATATTTCTTAAAACCTCTGATTCCACAAATGAATTAGAGGTAGTTCTAGATTCAGGTATGTAGAGCAGTTTCATCAGTTTCTGTACCTTGGCACCAGTTTATCAGCTTCACAGCACAATTCCAGAAGCCCAAGAAGAACTTTTGATACATCAAGGTAAGGCTCCCATACTGTGAAACCGCGACCAATCAAATCTATTGCAGCCCTTCGAAGAGGTGTGTGAGCAGGTAAGCGTGAAGAAGGTGGTGCCAAGAGTAAGTAGGTAAGAGCCAGACCTGTCGACAAACATGACACCAATACTGAAGTCAGAGCAACACACTATAAAGTAATTCTAACAACAAGTTTTTATCATGGAGATATATGTCTTAGATAAAATACTTGTATTTGATTTGTATTTTTTGCCTAGCTTTATTGGTCTAAACTTATTTCCACATGATTCCAAAGATAAAGGCATGTTATAGGAACATATCTTCCTGCACACTGTATATTTCTGATTCTGGTTGATAAATTAAGGACCAACTGAAATATAACTAACAGAAATGAAAAAAATCCAAAGAGGAAGGAGGAAGAATATAAGATTATGATTAGTTTAAAATATGTAATATAAAATAATTAAATAAAGATGTTAAGAATTCAGCAGGTAAATTTCCATTTACCTTTATTATTATAAATAAAATCTCAAAATGACATACTTGTCAGCCGGGCAAGATTATTATTGCCTATGCCAAAGCCTTCAACAACAGAACTCTTGCGTCTCTGATCCTCACTAGCCCTTCGCCTTGTGCTGCCCTCGCTCACATCTTGTCCAAACTCCGCTCCAATCACTCCAAGAAGCACAACTGCAGTTGTCTGCTTACGTTTCAACTCCGCCACACTCCAAGGTTTTCGCACACAGTATTCTAAAAATCACATTCTGATTAGGAAATAATTATCATGTTGGATTAATTCATAAGATGCATTTATAACTCCTAAATATCTTAACTTCCCAAAGACAGATTATTACTGTATACATTTTATATTCATCTGCCGATGGATTCTCATAAATGAAGTCAGTAATTTAACATATCCAATACTAACACTTAACAACTGTGACCTTGCATTAAGAAGTAATCATTTCATGCACTACACAGTATTATATGCAAAAAATTAAAGATGTAAACATGAGTAAGACAAAAAAGGTAAAGGGGACAGGAAATATCAGAACATATATCTGCATTAGTCACACAGCCCATTCCTGACATGTCCAATTTGTCAAAAAATAAATTACATTGAAATCAGAATAAAAAAAGTTATATTAAGTGTTGGAAATGGAAACATATTCATAGATGCATGCATTCATTCTTTTCCTCATGTCTGATACAACCTGGTATCCCAAAACTCATTCTGGCAAATTAAGTAAGAATGAGATACCAGGTAGTGTTCAACAATGAACACTTGTTGCACCCTGTTTGAAGACAACTGACAGACTGGCATGAGCAGTCCTGATATGCACATGTTTGGCACAGAAGAATCAGGAAATGTATCCCAAAACTCATTCTGGCAAATTAAGTAAGAATGAGATACCAGGTAGTGTTCAACAATGAACACTTGTTGCACCCTGTTTGAAGACAACTGACAGACTGGCATGAGCAGTCCTGATATGCACAGGCTCTTGTATAGTCACAGTGATATTGTGTGTTTATTAATCCAATTAAACTGCACTGAAATGCAACCATCAATAACTATTTTAATATGGGTTGTGTGACTTTTTGATCACTCTGTATAAAGATATCCTATTACACTGTGTTACCAATGCATATTGAAATGTGAAAAATCTACAGTAAAAAGAGAGTTTCTCTATCTGACCCTCTGTTCCTTCTTCCTCCTCGTCATCTTCATCCTCATGCTGTGGTTGCTCTGTCTGTACACCAGGAGCTGAACCATTGCTGCCCTGTTGACCTGCAGTGAGAAGTGAACCATATAGAGGACATAAAAATGTGAATTAGACAATCAGTTAATTACACAAAAAAGCAGCTAACTATCCCTTGAGCCATACTTTAAATGGCACACTGTAGAGTCTACAGAGTAACACTACCTGAAAAAGGGGTTGATAAATCAGATGTGAGGTAGCTCTTTGCCTTGTCACTATGCCCCTGAGTCAGTGCCATAATTAGTACACAGGTGTTATGTAATATCAAAACAGAGTAAATTAAATGGGGGTCTGCAGTGGCCGAGTGGTCTGAGGCGTGGGCCTTGTGCCGCTTGGTTGCTGAGACCACGGGTTTGAATCCCACTCAAGCCATGGATGTTTGTCCGCATTTTTATGTGTTGTGCTGTCCTGTGTACAGGTGAGGCCTTGCGACAGGCCGATCCCTCGTCCAAGGAGTCCTACTGAATGTCTATAGATCAAGCCAACGAAAAAGTTGGGACCCGCAGTGCTCAGGCACTTGAAGAACAGGTCGTTACCAGTATCCCCAGTAAATTAAATGCATGCCAGGTTACTTAACCATGCAATAACAACTATGTAAGTCACTTAAATTTAAATATACTGAAGGGAGCAATTAAAACACATATGTGAAATAAAAAGGGGAGACCTAGACGTAGATGGGAGGATAATCTCAGGCGGGATCTATGGGAGATAGGAGTTGAAGGAGACTGGATTTTGTTGACCCAGGACAGGGTCCGGTGGAGGGCTTTGGTTAATTCGGTGATGAACCTTCGGGTTCGGTAAGCCATCTAGTTAGTTAGTTAGTTATGTGAAATAAAAATGATGAAAAGTTCTTCAGTCTTTAAAATTTTCCTGTAATAATACCTTTTTGTCACTAATTTACAGACTGTTGGTGGCATGCCAGGTACAATGAAACATGCAACTACTCCACTGTTTATCTGTGAGACTTATTCATTCTGGAATTCTTCCTAGATAATCCTTAAACACACGATATAGACAAAGCAAATGGTGGAAAAAATTCCAGAATCCCAGTTTCTAAAACCTCTGTGAGTAGAATCATTTTGCTCTTGACAAATCAGAAGATACATTTCTGTGAAATACTTACAAACTGACCAGACTACCCAACAGGTGCAGTAAAACTTAGAACTTCTCATAAACCTGAGCATCAAACCTTACAAAGTGTATGTCAGATAGTCAGAGCCTTACATATTTGAGTCTTGAAGGGTACAAACTAAAAATTAAAGATACCTGAAATGCTTCAAGGAACATTATTCTGGTGACACTTGCATGACAGCAACATTAATATATTGCCAAACCTCAAAATGTTTACACATTCAGTGGCACACAGAATTTTAAAAATGGCTTGGAATTGGGGGTTTGGAATGTATCTGTAGAAGTACTTGTAATTATCTGTATATTGTATATTAGGTATTATGGGGCCATTTGGGGATGGAAACAAGGATGGGATATGTTTTATGATGCAACAATGATCACTCGGAGCAGACCTATATAACTAAAGGCAAAAATATCTGTCATCCTACACAGTATATCGGTTTGTCAAATGGTAACTGAAATATGACTTTACACACTGAAATACCTGTTTGGCCTGTATGGAGTTGGATTCTATCAAAAAGAAGACCCAAAAATTAAATTTGATGAAACTAACTCTACAGAGAAGAGTTCTTCATGAGAAACTGACTGCATGCTCAGTTACTCAAAAAATTAAATTTTACCAAAAACTGTTAGAATCATCAATAGTATAAAAGCATTTAATAAAAATCCAGTCAGTTTTGCTGTCTTTACTATATTTCACATAAAGTGAAAACAAGCATTTTTCTTGAAATATTAAATGTGAATCTGAAACAAAGTGAACACAAAATGTCAACATTTTCATTTTAAAAGAAGAAGGAATTACTCATAATATTACAGTGAGAGTTTGTTTGTTTGTTTGTTTGTTTTTATGCTATTACAGTTATGCTCCCAGCAAATTCAGATTTCTCTGTGCAGAAACTGCCAGTTATCTCTATGTGGGGTGGGGTGGGGGGTGGTCATGGTTACATAAAACCAAATACCACAGTGGCAAAACTGCATACAATTTAAAAAACATGGATACTTTAAAGTTGCAGTTGGTTAGGGTCTACTGTATAAGCAATGGATTTATAGGTGTTTCTCATGCTCTAGCACAAGTGAAGAACACCTTATGGGCTCAACCATGTCTACCCATGGTGTTTTTTGCAATGAGACCACAGGTTCCATTATAACAAACACATTGTCCTGCAACAATGGGATGCAAGAGTTTTCACTATCATGCAATAAATGGACTGGAGATCCAGTTGTAGAACACACTGTTGCACAATATCCTGGGAACACAATAGTGCAAGAATAACTTAAGATTCAACAATGACCTCAGATCACATCAGTGCAACAACTTACATGATGTGGCATGAAGAATATTTCTGGAATGTTAGTGTACTCCAAACATACACCTTTACATTCTTATTAAATTCAGAAACCTGAGATTACTACTGAAAAGCACATAAAGATGCAAACTAATTCCGCATTTTAACCTGATGACTGTATCTGCTGGGCTGCACCTCCCTGTTGGGCTGATGGAACAGTCAGAGTCTGCGATGAAGGATGCTGAGTAGTGGGTGGGAACCCAAGCGTATCTGTTGAGCTGTAGGATGGCAAAAACTGAGCCCAACTGTCAACCAGGGCTTTGCGACCTTTTGGTCCCAATCGACCAAGTTCAGCCAGTAATAAAGCTTGTGCAGCCTCACGCACCTTGCAATAAGAGAACATATGACTGACATGCATATATAATTTCACATATTATACAAGAGTTGAGTTGTTCTATGTAGATAATAATGCCAAAGATAATAGATGCTATACAATTTTCACAAATGCATCTAACTAAAATTACTGTCCTGTAAACATTTTATCAATCAAGACTTTGTACTATATATTAACATACCTCCAGACACTGGTGTTGCCATCTTCGTGCCATCATCTCAACCTGAGGTCTCTTGAAGTTCTTAGAGCCAGCCTGGACAACTTTGTCTGGCAACAATACACAATGCAGGGTGGCCAGCAGACTCCAGCCTTGCTTGATTTGGGCTTGCTGTGCTGTGAATAGATCTTCACTCTCTTCTTCAGCTTTTGTTGCCCAACTGAGGGCTGTACGAGTACTTTGCCTAAAGAGACCAAATAATTTATATGAATATACAAGTAAGTAAAGAACTATAATGCACAGAAAATAAAGTACAAAAAGTATTTTATAATTGAATTAAAGAAGCTGTTGTCTGAAATGATATAATACTGATCAAGTTTACTAGGAAAATATTTTATTTGACTTAAATTTGAGAGGAATTCAGACTAACACACTGCTCAATACAGTTTTAACTACACAATAATGTACAGAGCAGCCTCACTCTGTAATAATCACAAACAGATAAGTCTACTTACAATCTGATTTTTCATTGTTCTCAGCCTTTTTTGAAAAATTCTGAAGTAAACTTTATTACCTTTTATTCCCAATGAAGCAGTCTCTTAACTAAAACTCACTGGCTCATATATTAATAAATATGTGATAAGAAATGTAAAATACCACTTCACAGAAATTTTTTTAAACCCCAAAGCTAATCACAGACATTTACAAACAAATCTTCACCATTGTATAACTTTGGCTATCAGTGGCAAGCAGCATCTGATGTTTTTTTGGTGTTAACCAACATTTTGGCAAACATTGCAGTTGTCATTCAGATGCTAGATTAGAGTATGAAAGTGGCAACTAATTCATAAAATCCAGTAAAAGTTACAAAAACAAGTCTATCAGCTTCACCATGTCAGCATATAAGAAATGTAGAACTGCTTAACACATTTTCATAAAACTCAATGTTGGAAACATTTATCAAAATTTGTTGATATATTCCAACATTGTTTAAAGTTTTCAAAAATAATGGATACATTACATGAAGATTCTTTACATGCATTTCTGCATACATTTTGAGTTCGCCAGTCAAATATTTATTACAGCAAAAGAGGTTCAAACAAAAATTGTAGAGAAAAAAAATATTTTTGCCCAATACATTTTTCCAATAAGACTTATGGTTTTCTTGACAATTACAAGGAATTTTATGCTGTATCATCTCAAAACTTTAGAACTACTGGACTAAGTCAATCAAATTTTATTCTAAAGGCACTTGTACATCTGCTGCACCTGTTTAGACTTTAAAATATTTGTAAAACCACCTACTTACCTATGAAGCTTACGAGTTCGTTCCTGCTCAGGAACAAATGTTGCATTATTCATGGACATAAGTGTATTGGCAAGTGCAATAATGGCAAGCAGATGATTACTGGTCAAGGTAGTACTTAGCTCCCAGTGGGTACGTGCCGTAAACAGCCTTGTTAGTCGTTCCAAATGAACCAATTCAACTGGCAAGTCAGCTTCCAAGGAGTTGGCAGCATTGCCAGATGTATTTACTGATTTCTCAGCATCAAGGTCATCAGCATATTTTGCTTGCCACGTTGGTAACAACAAACTCATATAACCTTGAAAAAGAATATAAGCAACATGCGTAAAGTGGTAACAAGACAGCTTCACTTTTCAATTTAAACTTCATGTATTTACCAGTCTTTGTTACATTCTGTAACACATCATTAAATGTTGTTCAAGTAATATGCTTCCAACAAGATAAAACATCAATCACTGAATCCAAAAACAAGTTCTTTAATCTCAGACATCAGTCGTCATGTAGGATTTGAGGTTTTCACAGCGGTGAGTATGAAGAATTCCATCTTCTGGGTTGTTGCGCCGTGTAGTCTGGTCGATGTTAACCAACGTTTCAGAGGTCATACTGCCTCTGAAACGTTGGTTAACATCGACCAGACTACACAGCGCAACAACCCAGAAGACGGAATTCTTCATCAGTCGTCATGTTAGGACACCATTTCTTTTGCAAGTAAGAGCATTCTCACATATGCATGGTAGCAAGGCCATGCTGCAGATCACATGATGTGTAGCATACCAAATTACTTCAAATATGTCATCCTGCTTGCTTTCCATGATCAGAATTTATACTTTTCAGGCCTTACCATTATTAAACACTAAAAGAAAATGCCTCCAACAGTGATTCATTCTTGTTTATATACTAAACAATTTATATGATTATGCCATAACTTACTGCCAATTAAAAAGAAATACTTTCATGTTCCATATGTAACTATTCATACAAGCTACTTATATTATAGTAAATTTTTCCTTTCATTCAGAAATCATAAAAATACAGCTTGGACACAGGACCGACCAACCAACAAACAAAATTAATCTTTTGTGTAAGACATGCATTAACTGTAAATTAAAACCAGTAACAATGGAAGGAATGGAGATAGTATAAGAGGAAACACAGGACAGGTAACAGGTAATGAAACTCCAACATGTGATTTTATCTAAGGCAAATTACTAAACAGCCTTCTTATCAAGATATTTTATAATATATTTACCAAATAAAAAGATGTTTTAATTAAAGATCAAAATTTTAAATCAAATGCCATTTTTTAAAATAGGATTAACAGATTTAATGACATGAATAAAATTACTCATGTTTATATGCTAGCTGCCCCAAGACAATTGAGAGATTGCTATAATTGCATAATTGGTAACATGATAAATATGACAACCAATAAATTATTCTCATATCTGATCTTATTTTATAATAATTTATGTGTCTGTAACTCTCCAATGTTTGTTAAACTGAGAATGTAATATTCTTTTAAAACCAAATTACCAACTGATAAACAATGCCTACCTCCTTTGGAGAGGACTCCAAATGAAACTGGTACCATTGGACGAAGCAGTCCCAATTTACCCTCACAAACACGATCAAGGTCAGGATCCATGCCCCATGCATGAAGCAGTGACAAAAGAAGTTGGGCAATTTCCATGGTGGCATTTGTCTCCAGACCACGCACTTTTCTACTACCCTGATCACCCACTTCATTTCCTGCACAAATAAAGTGTACTGTATGAGGCATGACATTAATAAGGTTATAATAAAAACAATAATTTCAATTTTATGCACAAAGTCGGAGCAATTTATACAATTAGAATTAATAAATCAAAGAAGAAGAAGATGACAACACACACACCTACTGTGCCTCTTATGACATCATAAGCCTTAACGATGCCATCACCCATGCATATAACCTGGGAACAGCTGAATGGATTTTCATTAAACTTGGTATGGGCACTATGCCACTGGAGATTATATCAAACTTGTACCTTTTAATTTCCTATAATTGTTAATGCCAACATGACAGATGTTACAACTTGTGAGATGGGAAGGTGACATTCCACAATGACATCATTAACCATGATCCCCTACATGCCTGATGACATCATTGCTCCTGATATTTTTATACCAGCTGACTGTTTGAACAATTAAGAAAGAAACATCAGTACTACTGTTTCTTTTCCATAATTACCAATCTAACAGCAATTTTTTATTTAACAAAAGTCAAACCTGCTAAACATGCCAGAAATATCACACTATGTGTACATTTGCTAACTTATAATTTTTACATAATATGCATACCAATAACTGGCATATTCATTCTCTCTCTAGAAGGGTAAAATCTTCACAAAAGTATTTATTAAGTCTAATATAATTCCAAGGCATGGAATGTTGAGACAAAAGGGTGAACTTACAGTGAAAAGTGATGATTACTTCACAAATAATGAAAGCATAACATCTGAAGATAACAATGTACAAATTAATTTGATAACAGTTATAATCACAACTACACGATAAAATAAGGAAAACAGGTGGCCCCAAAAAACAAGGTTCCCAACATTCACAAGGATTTAAATCCACTAATCTCTTCACACTTTTATTCATGAGTGCTATCAAATTATTGCTACAGGAAACCAACAATAAACATTACTTCTACTTAGACACACACGAACAACATGAAACACTCTTCCAGTAGAAGATAACTTCTGTGCCCATCATGGGTATGGTATGACAATTACTGTTGTTAGGTTCATAACTGGAATATGTACTATGTGTTGTATGTTTCAACTTTTGAGTAATATACAGACCTCTGACACCATAATATTTAAAGCAGTGTTAAAGCTCATTGCATGAAATACAGTTATTTTTTAACAAAATTATTATGCATTTAACATTACTCACTATAAAATATGAAAACTGTTTACCTTTTCCATCAGTCTGGATGGGTTTGAAACCAACAATCTCAGCTCGTGCTTGTAGCTTTGTCTGAACGTTTTCTGCGCCTTCCTTCATTTTGGCCAGGATTCCTGCGCCAAAATACAATGCAGTCATGCATACACTGAGGTTAGAATCCCAACAATCAAAACGTTTTAATTTACATGGAATCCACATCATAAAAAATAATTAAGCCTACTGTTAGAATATTCACATAAAAAAATAATCTTATCTTTGGATATGACACTCATCTTTACTGTCTGAGCTATAGAAACTCTTTCTTCTTCATCTACGTGCACCCAGGACTGGGCCAGGTTGAAACTTGGTTCAAATGATAGCAAATAAACATTATGTAAGACATTTTGGACTTTCTCAGGCCATTCTTCTTTCACAAAGCAAAAGTTTCATACAGTTGAGCTCATGTTGTGCTCATTACACAATCAGACTCCAGAAACAAATCACAATGACTTCATTATCTCAAAGAAAATATCTTCCCAATGGTGTATTCTAAATCAAATTTGAAAACCACTGGTGTTTCAGACAATATGAAATGCATCAAGCAAATGTTTACTTATTTAGACACATTTTAATTAGTCTAACTAGACTTAAGGGTACACTAAATGCAATGTGAATGTTGTATAACATATTTCTCCTCTCAATGAATGATAAGCTTTCTTGAAGTCTGTAAGTTGATGAAGTGCTGTCTCACAATGCTGGAAAGGAAAAATAATTGCCCATACACAGTTTATGGCCAAATCCTTCCACTTTTCAGACAACCTGCAACACTATGACATGGGTACATGTGATGTCTCTGACAGCAAGTTCTTGCTGTTCACAAAAATATGCATCCATGTCAAAAGTGTAACCTGTTCTATCAGAGTTAGTAGAGTTTTATTCCAAAGCATTTTCAGGGATTTTATTGCTTGGACAAAATCTTCCTCTTGAAAGAGATAATAATTTAATCTACTGATATAGCATTCAGCACTGAAAATCTTAAATTAGTATGTCACATTTCTAAGCTTGAAAAATTTGTCAGGCAGCTTTTCATTATCTGTAAAATATGTAAGTGTTTTATAATGTGCCAAAAATAATCATGCACAACTGTTTAAGGAGAAAAGCATGTGATCTGAGGTTATCCTCGACCACTATTCCCTAGTACTGTGTATTTGGTTGCGATCCATCCAGAACATTAAGGTTGAAAAATGATGACAATCCTCCATTTCCACATCTCACATAGCAGATGTACTGGACCTGTCCCAAGAAGCCATGTGGTGGTAGAGGTACTGGCTTTTAACTTAAGAATTATAAAAAATACCTGTCCAAAAACAACATGGAAAAGTCAAATGGTTGCAAGTTTTCTTTTAAATGTGGCACATCTGTTCTGTTCACTTCATTTTGTTCCTCCATAAACTGATGTGCATATGCTATATCAATACAAACATTGCCTCTCCATTCCAGTCCATCAATGTCACTCTGCTGACTATCTTCTGATGAAATATGGCTTCCATCAAGTTCTTCCTCAGAATCTGTGTCACTGTAAAACCCTTATTTTATGCCAGATTCTACCAACTTATCACTATGAAGATATTTAGATAAGCCTGTCACATTTACCTGTGTTGATGAGTGCAAAAGAAGATATAGGCGGAATCAAACATGGCTACCTTACTTTAGGTAAATAAACAACCACCAATAACTTAACACTTTTCACTGCAATTTTATTTGCACTAAAGTTCACAGGTTTTCTGCACTGGCTGAATGCTAAAGAAGTACTTAACTGAGAAAATCTGACATGCCACAAAAGTTATATTAAATCTGCCACTAATGACTCCAACAATGACCAACATAATAACATGGTGGGAAGCACAGCAATGAAAACTTTGACTACAAGCAAATTGAGACAAAAATGATCCACTGTTACAATCATTATTTACAGCAGACCACACTGTGGTTTGGACAACAAGACTGCAAAAGAAAATAAAGTAATTTTACCTTGCAACACCAGAGCTTATCCAGTTTCATATGTGTGGAAAAACACTGAAACAGTACACTAAATAAAGGCATGCATATGTGACATTAAAGTGATCTTTCAGAATTCTAAAGTTTAAATCAACCAACAATAAACTAAACACTCAAACTCACAAATTAAATTTGTAATGACCCAGACTCTCTTTGACTGAAGTTTTGATATTCTCCCTATTACTTTCCAAAACCCTATTGATGTCCATATTGTAGCAATAATGAATTTAATCAACTAAAACGTCTTTTACAGCACCACGTCACAATATTATCATCCAAGTTTTCCAAAGCTGCAAACCAGTCTGAGATTTTGACCACATACTATTCCTGAACTTCCACATCACTTAGCTTCTTAAAGGGCTATTAATTCTATATCTGCCCTTTTCATAGTCAAGCAGCCCAATAATAATTGCTGTCA